TAGCTCTAGAACAAAGGCCTGTGCACAGCCATGAGTTCTTATGAATGCCCATTCACTGCACATGCAGGGAACAAAAAGAATCACTCTGTTGTTTCCCATCCTCCTGCTCCTCTGGCCAGCCCACCAGGAGACCCACTAAATGCCAGCCCTGTGGGAATACCTTCAACTGGCAGTGCTGAGCTCCCCGTCCGAGCAGATGACTTTAATTCCTGCATGGAGGATAAAACCAAGACCTATCACGGAATATCCTGACTTAGAAGGGACCCACAAGGACCACTGAGTCCAACTCCTGGCTCCACGTAAGATCATTGTCCAGCACATTCCACACCTGATCATCCTAAGCTCTCCAGAGGATGCTTAGTGCAGCTCTAAACGTGTCAGGCTGAGATCTGCTAGAGGACAGACCATGGGCTTAACAGGTTTATCCTGCAGGAATGCTGCCTGAAGTTTCAGTTGAAATGTAAAATAAAGAAACCAAGCTGAAAGAAAGGAGTTTGTTCCACTGTTCCGAACTTACTGCATCATTCCTCTCTTTGTAAAGCGCGTATCTGCACAGAAGGCAATCTTCTGGTTCTGTGCTGCCCGAGAAATTTTAAAAATGTAAGGCAAATCCAGGAGGTTTGTTGGTAGAGTAAATAACCTTTGCTTTATTTAGCCCTATCGCATTGGTACTCCCAGCTCTCACCATGAAGCTAGCAGCCCTGTCCCATCCAAGCAAGCTGATGACCTGCTAAAGGCTCAATTAAATCCAAGCTGGATTAGATTGATACTGGAATGCAAACTGCACCAAGACCTGCTTTAGACCCAGGTTAGAAGAGTAACAACAGAGCTGAGATGTGATTTAACAATATTAGGCAGACCAGAGGCCACAAATGCCCCCAGGTCACTGGGGCTTGTTCTTTTAAACTCAGAACTTGGAGAGGCTGCTCTCTCACCTGGGATTTTCCTAGCCTTCATTGCACAAAACATTACAATGTTGGCATAAACACAGAAAGTAGACCCAAAACATGTTTTGAAATTAAACCGAAGGCCACGAGGGACTTGGCAGCTGGCACAGTCACCAAACAGCGCCGCAACCAAGCGCCAGTTCAAACTTCAGCACTCCCAGTGCCACCACGCAGAGGCAGCAGGCACCCTCCTGTGTTTTCTTCTGCCAACACTCGCTCACCTGCAGCTGAAGGACCTCCCCAAGCAGCACCCACTACATGGAGGCAGGTGTAGAAAGGGGAAGAAAAGTGTTTTTACCGTTCTGCCTCCCGTGTGTGCTGAATGTCTTAGCTAAAGGACTTACAACTACAAAACCCTCCCGTTTTCCATCACCTAACAAAGACAGCAGGCATGCTGATGCTTGAAGAAGCAGCTGCCCACTAACTGCAGCCTCAGACAGGTTACCAGGTTGTTTTTCATAACCCTCTGCTCAGCCACTTTGGACCGTGCCTCTTCTCTTTTCTTCTCTTCTCTCTATATGCTCTGTGCAGGCGGAAGGAAGCTCTTTCGTTTCAGCACTAGCCAGCAGTTCAAAAGACCCAAGTTCAAGCTTGTGCACCACCGCACATTTCCTGTGCAATCACAGAAAAGCCAGTTACTTTTTTTTGCACTTTTATGCTCCATCTGCAAAGGGAAGGAGTCTTCCCCGCTGCGCAAAGACACAACACCTTTCCCCTCCAGCATCATTTTGAGAGGATTAATAGAACCGAAGAGTGCACTCACAGAGATAAGTCCGACAAGAGCATTAAAGATGTGGAAAAAGGAAGATAAATTACCTGGGTAGGACTTCATTTCACTCTTTCTTAGCAAATTTGCATCTCTATGTTCAGGTTGTTATGTGACCAATTCCCTTTCAACAGTCTAATCTTTTTCTGGCTTGGGTTAGAATTAAACATCAAAACCTCGACTTACACGCTCTTTGGGTAAGTTTAAATAATAATAAATAAATAAATAAATAAATAAATAAATAGAGTTAAAGAGTTTCAGGCTCTTTGCAACATGTTAAGCTTCAAACTATACTTCAGAACTTGTCAGGTCTGGCCAAAGCAGAATAAACTTCTGACTAGTCTCTGAACTGAAGAAGCATTAAGCACAGTGGTGGTTTTTTTGCCCTCCAAAGTTAAGACTGTGTGTGGAGCTTGTTCTTTTGGTGCTTGCTTTTTCCAAAAACGTACATCAGAACAGTATCAGCTGGGAACTGTGTCTGATGTGCTCTTTTTGGATACTTAGGAGATGCAAACAGACAGATCCAAAGTTGTACCGTGCTAAAATGCCAGATATAAAAACGGTCCATCAAAGATTCTGTAAAGCTGAGTATTGACTTGCTCTCCCTAAAGCTACCACAGTGCCAGAACAGCCTCACCGTTGGCCAAATGTATTTAATATTGTCAACTGCATACAAAGGTAACAATTCTGGTCAATAAAATCATTTTTTGAAACTGAAATGAAGCCAAAATTCTGTTAAGGCCAATTATTGGTTAAACATTTCCACTCTTCCCACAGCTAATAAGCAAGAATGTTGCTTCTACCTTTACCAAGTTTCTTCTGCTCCCACTTTAGATGATTTTTCTTTCTTTAATGCTGTTACACGGCTCATGTTTTGATGTTACTCTAAAACAGGTCTGTTTCTCAGCACCACAAGCATGGCACTATGTAAAAAGTTCTGTGAATCCCACACACACACACCCTGATCTGCTTTCTCAGTCCATCCCAAGCCTGGCTGTTACACTAAAGCGACTCTGTCGAACAATCTGCCACTTCAGCAAGTGCACTGACTATAACCATGCACAAATCAGCTTGCAAAGAGGCCTGTGCATGTGTGAGAAACGAAAGGTCTCCAAACTACTGCTGCGTGCAGTTCTTCACTGACCTAGCTGTGCGGTGTTATTATAGGACAGTTCAACGCAGCTAATCCCAAAACCTTTAAACGCTCAACTTGAGCTACAGAAACTTCTGCCTTTCGAAGAGAAGTCCTGAAAGACCTCGAGACTGAAAAGAGAAGGAAGATCACAAAGTGATACAGAGCAAAAAGGAGAAAGCAAGTTGGAGAGTGTTTAGGAGATTTGAGACTGTCTCACTTCTACCCCTTACTTTCAGGGAGCATCAGTGTAACATTTTAATTAGCAACAATTCAATGCTGGAGATAAAGTAGCAACATTACTCTGGGGCATTTTGGACCCTGAAAACACAAATGACACTTCACCTGCCAAAACCATCCCTGGCAAAACTCCACTGACATCAGTGGAACTAGCCCAACCATGAAATTGGCCCACAGTTGCTTTAAGACAATAATGGCTTTGTTTTAGGAGAAATAGGGTATCTGTGGTTGTTTTTAATAAAGCCTAGCAAACAATTGCGTATTGTTACTAAGCAAATCTCACTGACAATAAGCAAACAGCTATCACATTTGCCGTGCACACTGGCTGTCCATTTATTGCTTAGGAAAACAACCGTCAATAAAGGAAGAAGATTCTCGGTGTCCTATTCAAATCATGAGGAGATTAAAGACTGACTGCTTCCCCAATTGCCCACAACGTCCACAAGTAATTATTTCCATTGTAACAGTGTTCTTCCACGCTCCTAATTCACTGCCAAGTCACCGAAAGTTAAACATCCCAGTTTAGAAGAAGTTAAATATCCCAGATTTAGCGCACATACCCACGTACCACAGCGCTGCCAGGGAGTTATTCAACAATACCCCCACCGCAATCCCCATCCAGCAACCACATTATGCTCATTCAAACGAGGTTTTTTTTTCCTCATTTTGTTGCGTTTTTGTCTGACTGTGCAGATTCTCAGCAAAAAACAAAAGTTCTCGTGCTCCTGGCTCCTTCTCGAGCGTGCCCTGAACTTGCAGAACCGGCCTCTGCTCCAACACCAAGGCACTACCATACGCCAGTACTCCTCAAACTATTAAAGAACATTAAACAGAAGGAGGAAACACTTGGTTAAGTCACACCGACCTTCTACGTTGCACCCCTCGCTCATTTGAACGCTGAAATTCTCCGAAAACACTGCTCTGTGCAGTCACGCTAACCAGTCGGGAAGCCTTTCAATCCAGCACGTAGGGAAATGGAGGCACTGGGACCGTCCAGGGAAACTTTTGACAGAGCTGCAGTTCGAGGGGTGGAAGCACAGGGAGAGTTCGCCAGCCTCTGAGGCTCGCAGTTTGACCAAAAAGTGGGGGTTTGTAGGGAGAAAACCACTCCACACACCCAAAGCTCAGCTGCAGCCGCTGCTCCGAGCTCACCTTCATCGGGACAGGAGATAAAAGCAGTCATCCCGCCATCGCAAGGCGAGGGGATTGCTTCTCCTTCTCTTCACAGAAGAGACTGTCTTTCCTTCTCAGCCACCACAACCACCCCAGGAGAGAATAAAAGTTACTCCGCGGAGCAAAACCCCCTCCGCCAGCCCCAAAAGCGAGGGGAAAAGCACCCGACACGGGCAAAAGCCATGCTCCAGAGCAGCCCGGACAGAGGGGCGCCCTATAATTTCACCCCCTCAAGCTTCCCATCCTAAAATAAGAGAAATTAGGCAGAGGGAGGTGTCACCCCGGGGTCCCTCAGCCCCCTCAGGCAGCCGGGGAGCTTCGGGGTGCGCCCTGAGGGGATGCAGGGTGCGCCCTGAGGAGAAATGGGGTGAACCCTGAGGGAAATTGGGGTGAATCCCTGAGGGAAATGAGGGTGAACCCTGAGGAGAAATGGGGTGCACCCTGCGGGAAATGGGGGTGCACCCTGAGGGGGCTCTCCCCCGATCCCCGCCGCCCGGGCTGTCCCGCCCCGCCATCGCCGCGCCTTTGTGTGCGGGAGATCCCCGGCCACAAAAAAATACGAAAATAAAAAATAAAACCTACCTCGGCGGGGACTGCTATCCCCGAGCCGCCGGGAAGAGGCACCGGCAAGAGGAGAGAGGGACACCCGGAGGGCAGGAGGAGGGACAGGGAGCCGGAGGGAAGGCGGCAGCTGCCCGCTCCGAGCCGGCCCGGCCTCGCCTGAGGGGAGCGGCGGGGCCGGGGGCGGGCCGGGGGCGGACCCGGCGCTGAGTCAGCGCCCAGGCGGCTCCTCCGGCCCCGAGCACGGAGCCGCCTTTGTTGTCGGGTTCCCTCAGGGCGAGGGGGAGACGAGGGGGAAAGCCCGAAAGAGTGAGGGGGTCAAAGGGGGTGGTCCCCCAAGCCGGCAGGAGGCTGCCCCTGGCCCCCCGCGCTGAGGGGGGGAGAGGGGACGGACCGCCGTGGGCAGCGGTCGCGGTGGTTTTGGGGCACATGCTGAGGTGGTGAGGTCCCTCAGTGGCCTCCTTCACCTGCAGGAGTGACTCTGCTTCCCTCAGGAGTCTCCAACTGCTTTTTTTCACTTCCCCGTCTTCATTTCTTCTCCCTCTCTCTTGTCCCAAACCCCTAAAACTCAACCTTGTCCCCTATGGATATTCCCACTAAATAAGAATCAAGAACCCCAGTCTGTGCATGAACCCATGCAAACACAATTCACTGGCAGAAGAAAGGCCAGGCAATCACAGCAGTTAGTCCGAAATGGTGAGACGTGCCTCAAAATCTGTTTCATTGCAAGTAATAAACGATGCAGGCATGACAGAATCTGGACCGTAACATAGCGTGCGGAGGCTTTGGGTATGGACCAGAAAATGACCCTTGGGGATGAAATGTATGTTTATATATTGGTGTGCATGCTTGGATTGAATCAATTTCTTTTGTATATTTATCACCAGGATTATTCTGAGTTTCTTCGGAGCAGATGACTCGCATCACAGCAAAGTGACAGAAGCGTCTTGAATCGCCCCAGGGATGGAAAACTTCTGGGCCCATCAGACTGGAGCTCGAGGAGCATTCAGCATAGTTTGGGCTCTGGAGACTCCTCCAAGACCCCCAGCCCCAAGAAGTCCTTGTAGGAAGGATGTTGGTGCTCAGCAGGTGGTGCTATTTCCACTGACTCTGTCCTAAATAATCCACTGCCCCAGCTTGTCCTGGGGAGTTAGTGGGTACGGAGAAATACATTTTCTGTGAGGGAAAGCTGAAATCGTGAGTGCTGGTGTGTATTAAAAGTCTGCTCAGGTCTTTGTGTGTGGCTGTTCTTTCACTAGGAAGAAAAAAAGGCAGCTGCAAAGTGCCTGTGTGAAACATAGCAAATGGATGACAACCAGAGTGTGGGTGGCCACTATCAGTTCTGGTTCAATCTAAGTCTGCTGCCAAGTGCCAACGTAGGCAATCAGAGCTATGCTGTGGACAAATTAGATGTTACAAAATCCACTACACTCCTCAAAAAGTCACTAGCAGCTCCACAAGTTGGGACACCCATTGGTGGTGTCCACGTTCACCCTTTCAGCCCTGATTATGACTTGCCTCATGCCCCAGGTGACTGAAGATAGCTGTGAGATACATTTGTTCCTGTATGTGGAGCCCATCGATACTACACAGAGAAAAACCTCATAAAAATTGATTATTTTTTATTAAATGCAGTAAAATAATGTGCCTAGAAGGGTGAGGGAGTATAAATATTGAATAGTTCCCTGTTCTGTGAACAACCCTCTGTTTGAAGCAAGCAGGGAAGGAAATGGTGTATGAGCAGAGACGTGCAACCAGCAAAGGAAGAAAATGAACTGCAAAGCCAGCTGGAATGCTGGATTTCCCTATCTTTTACATTCTTGACCTTACAGACCTCTCCGTATCATTCTGCATGTAAGCATTAACCATTCATATCATAAAGGCGCTTTGTAGTCCTGATCCAGTTTTATCGCCGCTGCTTTAGACACTGCACAGGCAGTTGTCCCTGCTCTGAAATCTGACACTTTACATCAGTGTTTCCCAACCCTTTCTGGGCTTAGGCAGCTATTTTGCTGCGAGATGTACCATCTCCACAACAGATACCTTACATCCGCACCTTTAAATGGAATTTAACACTTTGATGAGGTTACTGAAAACACAACGGTGGTCAAATGATAACTCCGAGTCAAACATCTCACAAGCAAGTTAAGGGGTTGGCCTGTGTCACCTCCTTGCCAGGCTTTGCACAAGAGCTGCTTGGTATCCCAAAGCCTTAGATGGGGAGAAAGCAAGTCAGCCCAGCTCAGCTCCAGCCCATCGCTGAGGATGGGGTTTTGTGAGCAGTCAGTATTCTTTCCCAGCCATGAGCCACTCAAGTTCAAGAGTTCCCCTCGCTTCTTTGGCTCTTGACCACATGAAAATTGCAGTGCATCATACATATGATAAGGAAATTTGGCCACAACTGCATTTTACTCATGACAAGCCTTCTTCCTCCAGCACTGTGGATACTGAAACTCCAAAAACTGCTTGAGAAAGCCTCAGGGATCTTTCTAGATGAAAAGCACTATATAAATGTAAGCCATTACCATTTTATTTTAGATGAAAAGTGGTGTATTGGAATCCAAACCGTGAATGAATTTGCTGCACTTTAGAACAACTCTCAGACAGAATGATGCACTGGAAATACTTAAGATAAATCCCTTTTTCATTAACTTTATAGCCAAAAGTGTATAGCCATTCTATTGTATAAGTGTCATAGGATGTGACTGGTTTGGCCTTTTGGCATCTCATGAATCAAATCTCTATAGTATGTATTTTATTTGCCTGTTGCTCTTTATATTTCTTTTCAGCCAAAGTGCAGAATGAAAAGCAAAATCAACCTTTAACTACTTGAGTTGATCTCTTTGTGGGGTAGAGATGCAGAGATTGAGATTTACTCCATGCCTGAACCATACCTGGCCTTTGAGTGTTACTGTAATATAACCAGAAATAATAATAGTAGCTTTTTCTTCTTTTTGTGGCAGAAACAAAGTGGATTAATGAGTCAGCTGCTGTGGGATTCCCCTTCTTAATTTCAGCTATCTGAAAGCAGACATCTAGTCTAAGCAGGTCAGGCAGGGTGGGGGAGAGATAGGCACCTCCAGAGGGAGACTTGTGGCTCCTTAGGTGTCTGTATTAGATTTGGATTAATTGCTTCTGGAATTGCCTCTGCTAGTTATAAAAGGCAGCAGCCTGACAAGCTTCACCTAGATGCCTTCCTCATAAATTCTTTAACTGTGCGTAATTCCTTTACCCAAAGTGGCAAAATGCTTCCCCATTTTCTACTTCCATTTACAAACATGAGATGAGCGCTGCTTGTATACCAATATTTTTATTCCAGATAACATGGAGAAGCACTGACTTACACTGTATGAAAAAGCGATTTTCTTTCTTCAATTATATTCGCTTTAAATGCCTTTTCTAGATTTTTTTTTTTAATTTAATCAAAGTAAATCAGCTGGAATGCAAGCTGCTATAAAGATTTTTCCATACCATAATTCTGCAGAAACGTCAGTTGAGTATCTGAAGAAACATCTGCTGTGCACACAGATGTATAAGTATATATAGGAGCTGAACAATGTGACTTTTCAGTTTGCAGGGTTTTCTTCACACAAAGCCAGGGGCATAAAAGGGATTTCCTCCAAGTTTTCCTGTATGTTAATAATGAAGATCAGGATGCCACCTTTGTTTCCTCCCCTTCTGAAAAGGAAAGGAAATGAAAGGAAATGGTTCTGGATCGAATCACAAAGAGCGGTGGAAAAAAAAAAAAAAAAAAGTAACAGAGTACACTCCACGCTGGCACTCAGAAGTTTAATTATCCAGCATGCTGCATCTTTATGGAAGAAGGAGACAGATAAATCCCATATGTTAATAGTTGGCCCCCCGTGGCTGACCTTTGGCTCAAATATTCCATATTGTGATTAATGTTGCACAGTTGGATCCAAAATATGCTCATTCCCCAGGCTGCAGGAAAAAAAGGGGGATTTCATTTACCTTCCAACAGCAGAATTCTGTTTGATCGCTCTTTTGGAGACTGATTTTATCCCTGCCTATAGCCTGGCCTCCGAAGAGCTCCTCTGCTCTTCCTGAGCTAGGACTCTTAAGATGCACCTTCTCGTACTGTCTCTGCTGGCTGAGCAACCAAAAAAAAAGTCATTTTCCTCCAGTTTCTGATCTAGTGGAACAACAAAAATAACTCCTTGCTGACACAGTTTGAAGTTTGCAGGTAGGAGACACTGAACAACAGGTCCACCTCTAGACAAAATTAAATACTGACCTTTCGAACCTAGAGCTTTCCTAGGAGTAGGTCAGGAAATCATAGGGACACTCGGATGATGGTTTTCTGAGCTCCTTCTGACCTTATCTTGCAATTCTTCTGTGTCCAGAGTCTGTTTGCCTCCTCATGTCATTGTTGAACTTTTGGCCATTCTGTATACCTATATTCTAATTCCAGAAATTCCAATTCTATATTTTAAGGTGCACAGTCTTTCTGTAGACATAATATGCATCCCATATATTACAAATACATGGTTCACAGCACTCCGCTGCACTTTTCTGGGGAAATGAGATCCTCAAACATATGGAAATAGCTGGGCTCAGAGTTGGGACGTAGAACATATAACAGATTCAAACAACATGTCCCCAACATCTGCTACAGAGTTAAAGCCTTGAGGTGATTAATAATACCAGGATTTCTCTCCGTTTGACTTCTCTAGGGTCAGGTCCAACACAAAACACCTTATCTGAAGCTAATTAAAGCCATTGCTAAAATTGCCCTCAGGTGAGTTTAGTCTGAGCCCTCATTTCTGCTTTCCTCCTAGATGAGATGAAGCAGCAAAGCCTGGTGAAGGCCTGGGAGCTGCTTCTGCTCCCATGAAGATCACAAGGAATTTTGCTTGGATTGGGCCCATAATGACAGACCCAGCTGTCTTCCCAGGGATGACACAGAAAAGTCTATAAAAACACAGCTGTAATAGCTGGAGAGACAGGAAAACGTGACACGGCCTCTGAGAAGGTCTGTCCCTATCTCCAGCTAGGACACATCTGGATTTTTGCACAGGATGGGCGATTTTATTTTTTTTTTCCAGGCTGTTTTATTTACCAAAGATGACAGGCTGCTAGCATCCTGTACTCAGGTTGGCCTTACAGCAATAGGAGGAGACCATCCCTTGTCATTTCCCACTAAAAGCAAATAACAATGTTTTTTCCTCCATGAAAGGAAAGACAGACAGATATCCTCCACATTCTGAACCACAAAGTCGGTGCAAGTAGCTTTTTTCCTATCTTTCATTTAGTAATGATTGCACACCAAAGATCTTCTATGAACCACATACATGCTTGCAGAGAAACATGTACGTGGATCGAGCCTCTACACTATCGCAGGACCTCAAAGTACTGGTTGAACCTAACCACTCTCAGAAATCAAGCAGAAATCAATCAAAATATAAGCGCGTCTATTTTAGAAAGGAGGAGACTGAAGATGTTCATTTCCAAGTTCATTTCCAGATCTGAAAATAAAATTAAAGCAGTGGAGAAAAAAAAAAATAATCATGCCTGCTGACATCTGATATTTAAAAGCAGAGACTTCCATCTCCAGGTGTTGAGCACAAGAGCCACAGGATGGCAGATGACTTAGAGACAAGGTAGAGTTGACAGAGGCACCCAAGTCAACCCATTGAGTTTGACCCCCTGCCTGCATTATCTCTGGCACTGCATGCTCCTAGGACTTCTGGGGTCATTCTTCCTGGGGAAGTTGTGCTAAAATGAGTTCAAAGCCTCTCCGATTCTTTCTCGGTGAGTCATTAATCATGGGAACACTTGTCTTGTTCTCTAGACACATGGGAAAAACAAGATGAGACAAAGTAAATGAGTTAGCATCCCAAGGGGAAGCAGAGCCTTGGCCATAACCTGCGCTTCCAACCATGGCTTCAAAGTCAAGTGAGGGTGTACTGTGTACAATCAAGAAGGAAAACATGGGAAATGTTGTATCAGAGCCTCCAATGGTGAACACAATAGATCCATTTCAGCTTAATCAGCTTATGTTCTTAGCTGAGTCTCCAGTCACAAATTCGAATACAAAGAATAATAAAAAGTAATGACAGGAACGTGAGCAATTAACAGAAATAGGTTGCCAACATTTCTCCTGCTTTCCCACTTGAAATAATTCATTATTCTTACTTATTTTTTTCCACCCCCTGTGGTTTAGCAACCAGCTGGTTCCTTACAAAGAAATCAGCAGGTTGACTGAGGCTGTGGCTACCCCAAAGTCCTCTGAGGCTTTCTTATTGACTGACCATTTCTTAGATAAGGTTGCCAGTAAATTATAGCTCTGCTTAAGAGCATCTGCCTCAGGGCTGCTCTCCCCTCATTATAAAACCTGATCTAATCCTGCGTGTCTCTTCAATTACTGGAGAGTACAATTCAAGAAGTGGCTTCCCCAGCGAACACAAAATGAGATAAACTATTGATAAACCATTCCTAAGTAGGGTAAACACGAATACCCAAGAGTGAAGCTAAGCATTTCCAGGCCAGTCTCCTTCTGATTTCCATGTGGTTTCCAACCCAATAACACATCACCGTGCCTGTTAATGTTGGCTGCTATTTCACCACAAAAAAGTGAGTTAAAAATTGGATGTCCTTACATCTGTCAGCAGAACTGCTTGTAAGTATTTCTGTCCACAAGGTGATGGTTCAGGTGATAACCTTGCAAAATGTTCTGGATAAGCCACTTGCTTTAGACCTTCCAATCTGC